CAAATAAATGACGACCTCGGTGGTCTACCGGTCTAGCACACCGCTTTACGTCCGATGGTAGCGGGTTCGATTCCTCGCACGGCACAAACATTTGTATTCATGAGTATGATTGTTTGTATCGGTCTGGCTGTTTTCTATGTATAATATGTATGTATTTACGAAAAAAAAATTATCTATGTACTTGTATCAGTTATCTAGTACCCGTAACACAAGCTTTAGATAGCTTAACTCGGGTCTAGATGGCGCTGTGTGAATTGTCCTGAGATTATTATTATTATTAAATAACACCTTACCCCTCAGTAGCCACGACTGAGCAGTTGACTCTGAGTTGAAGTTGAGTTACATTTTTTCTATGGTGTTGTTTTTAAAGCTATATTACCCTTACCACTTTCCATCAGGTGGTCGTCATTAAGCTTATCCGCTTTTACAGTCTTATTTAAAACTATACAGGTATATCAACCAGACACCCACAATTGTTCCTATTTTATTTTGAGAAAAAATTCTTCTATGGTGTTGTTTTTAAAGCTATATTACCCTTACCACTTTCCATCAGGTGGTCGTCATTAAGCTTATCCGCTTTTACAGTCTTATTTAAAACTATACAGGTATATCAACCAGACACCCACAATTGTCCGTTATTTTATTTTGAGAAACATTAAAAGGAAAATGCTCAACAAAAGTGTTGGCTGGCTTTATCCTGTAAATAGGAGATGCGCAGTACAGGTGCAAATTCTATATAAAGGTAGGATGTCCATTTTTCTATCCATTCACGATTGGTTCAGCATAGTGTTAGGAAATATTAGTTAGTTTATAAGACAGTGATATGAGAACAGTGCATTGTAGGTAAGTATCCTAATAATTAAGACGAGACTAATAATTATTTCGTCTCATCTCTACAAAGGTTTCGTAAGATTTTTTTATAATTTTTCGTGAAAGAAAAATTACTTTGATTTTTCTTTTAATCAGCATTTATTCCTATTTTTATGGTATTAGTTTTTTACGATTGAAGTAAATATTTTTCTGATTAAAATCTTGATTTAAATGGCTTATACATTTTTCATTATAAAGAGTTCATGATAAAAAGATATTTTATATATTATAATTTTTAAATAATCTGTTAAAAGTGCAATAATTCTATAATTGATATTATAAAATTATGCTAAAATAATCATTTAATAATTAAAGTACTACTTAAATTATAGAATGATTATTTTCCGGCCTAATTGTAAACGGGTGCAAAAATATTTCCTAAAAATATATTTGCAAATTATAGCTGAAAAAAAAATTGTTCAACTATTTTATTCTCACTAATAAAAAATAAAAATAAATATTTATTACTTCTTTATAATATTAGTTTTGACTTATATATTTAATAGCATTCTTCTAGTATTGTCATATTTTTAATTATTACACTCGATAAGTTTTCTTCAATGTAACTTTTCCAAAACCGTTTACACTGCATCGTAAATATTTTTTATTCGCACTACTTTTTATTCATACAACATTTACAATATTCGCATATCATTATATTTAAACCGTCGGTGCACAAAATAGACCAGTAATTCAAATAAAATAAAATTATTCTTGTAGCAAACTTCTTGGTGTATTTTTAAATTGTTTTTAAATTTTATAGTTATATTTTTTAAACTATTGTTTTATTGCCATACTCCAGCGATACTCAATAAATTGATACAAAAATAAACACATATATATAAAAATGAAATGACATTTGTTGGTCTCGCTAAAACTCGAGAACGGCCGGAGTTATTCAGTTAATTTTGGTTTTGAAGCTTTTGTGAGCTCCAAGGTTAAATGGTGAAAATATGTAGAAATTGCATGGAAAATAGTGGAAACAACAATTTTATTCTCCTATACAAACTGTTCATACCAAACAGGGTGCGTTCAGAAATTTATTGCGTAACTAAACTTTAAAAAACTTTTAACATCAGAACGTAGTTCGCGGGGTCAGCTAATAATGTATAAAAATGTTTCGCGAAATAAATTATATAAAATTATAAATAATATACATATACATACATTATAAATAATATAAAAATATTCGCATATTTCAATAATCTCCATATTTTTCTTTAAAAAAAACCTTCCATACATTTCACTCTGAATATGTGTTCACAGTAGGTATACTCGTAATAAAAAAATATATAGGTATTTTCTGTCTATAAAAAAACAGACTATTTATGACAAGCTGACGGTCACCTCATGGTAAGTGGTAACCGTCGCCTATATACCTGAAGAGTACATGTAACTTTATGTCATAATATGAAGTCTGAGCCAGGAACCAACTGCCACTTCGCAAGATTAAACTGCGCTATAATTGAATATAAAACAGAACATACGTTCATATCTAAGATGTTCCATAAGATACCAACGATGTTAGATGGCCTCGGTGGTATATTGGTTTAGCACACCGTCTTACTTCCGATGATTGCAGGTTCGATTCCTCGCATGGTAAAAATATTAATGAGTATCATAGTTTGTATTGGTCTGGGTTTCTATATAGAATATATATGTATTTGCAAAAATTAGTTAATTGTATGTATTTTTATCAGATGTCTTGTACGCATAACACAAGCTCTGCTTAGCTTGAGACTAGATGGCGCTGTGTGAATTATCAGGAGCTAGTATTATTATTATCCCGACCGCAATGTGTAAATTAAAAACTCTTTTGTTAATTGATTTAATTTTTTTTATTAGAATTCCTAACTAGGTCCTACTTTAGAGCCGAGTTTATGACTAAAATTAGACAAAAGTTTTAAGATAATACTAGCTTCAAATCTTGTTATTTTAAGCATTTTCTTTTTTATAATTGTAATTCGGTCTTAGTTGTTTTGTTTAAAGAGTACAGTGAATCTTTTAAATTCCAAGACGAAATAGAAATAAACTTGTTCTGAAATAGTTATTAAGCAACTTTGCAAAGATAAGAGAGAACATTAGCTGTGATTAATAATACCACAGATAATGTAATATTACATATACTATAATAATAATACCCTTAGACAATTCACACCCACCATCTAGTTCCAAGCTAAGCATAGCTTGTGTTATGGGTTCTAGACAACTGATAGAAATGCATATTTTTTTGTATATAAATACTCAACATACTTACATAGAAAATGCGCAGACCAATACAAACAATCATACACACACACGCCACTACACATCTTATTTATTTGTAGTCCACTCATGCATAAAATAAACTCATGCATCTTTTGTGGAACGTTTACACTCTATCCTGAGGAGATAAAAACCATCGTTCCTAAGAATATCCTTAATTTGTTTTGTCTAGGCGGTTCACTCTGAAGAGGTCGAGCTCAATAGATCTATACAGGTCGCAGTGTTACGTTTAACCACCAAGACCAAAGCCCAAAGCCCTCAATAAAAAAAAAATCCTCTGCCTCAGTACCTCTATCTCAGCATTTTAGCAGCTAGCCTTACTTTGCCACGATTGGCTAACTAACCTGACCTCATGCTCATCCTATAATGTTCCACTGGTGCTTCGTCAGCGTAAACCGTCAGCGCAGACACCATGCCATTATCATCCATAAAAAAAAATATCGCGGCAGGTCAAACCGCGCGGCACAGTTAGTCCTGTATAAAGTTTGAAAACTATTTTTATACATAGATCAAAAGGCCGCCGTTTCGCTTTGTTATTGCACTAGAGAGATAACCTGGCTTTATCTCGGTTATGCTTTAAATATCCTATGACGTGGTTGCGATAAAGCCTGATACCTAAATGATTAAAATTCATCCATCATCTTTTCGAATTAAATTCATCTAGCGTTTGAATGTTAAGATGAATTACCATTTGACGCAGTCGTTCCTTCTATAGATGTATATACCATCTCGCGGTCTGTAGTACGGTGTGGGTGGTGACATTGATCCAGATATTTGTAAGCAATGTCCATATTTTTTAATATTTCACAAATGTGTACTGAATACGTCAAATCAAATCAAATCAATACATCATTCAACTATTAATATTACGAATATATATATGTAAAATCTAACACCTTTGAAAAGTATATAGTTCGAGCTGAGAATAACTGACAGACCACTCTGCTCACATTCTTTTTCCATGCTTAATAGAAAGGAAATATTATGTTTATTCGATACACACACATTATAACGGTAGACAAAATAAGGAAATAGAACATGTTACTTTTGCGGGTTCGATTCCTCGCACAGTACGATCATTTACATTCAGGAGTAATTGCCCAAGAGCCCACGACGGTCAGACTTACGTCTTATTAGTAAACGTGAAAGTTCTTGTATGTGTGTGTGTGTGTGTGTATTTTAAGAAACTCCATATTTTCATATAATAATGAACAATATATGAAAATATGGAGTTTCTTAAAATAACGAATTTGATATGAAATTTTTTACACCTTTGTTACCTGTTACCTGCCAAAGCAACCACGATCCAGGTTTCATGTTTGGGGATCGTTCTCACCTGTGTTGGGGACACACATACAACTACTTTCACGTTTACTAATATGACATGTCTGGCCGTCGTGGGCTCTTGCTCTATATGATTTTTTATATAGGTCTGGGTGTTTCCTATCTATTATGTGTGTATTTACAAAAATAAAATGCATTTAAGTTTTATATCAGTTGTCTAGTACCTATAAGAAGCTCTGCTTAGCTTGGGACTATGCGCTGTGTATTTCCCTGGGTTATTGAAATCCTATCAAATAAAAAATCACGTATTGAAGTAGGGACCAGTGTGGGATTTATATTTTTATGAGTGTAGACCACTTTATTTCCGCCGCATAATGTTGGTATATACCTTTCTAAAATAATAATTTTGCCGCCCCTAAGACGCGGCCTATATGGCCTATTTATAAATCCAGGACTGGGCAGGACATTATATATATTCAATATACTGATTCAATTGACTACTAGCAAGAAACACAACTGTTTTTTTTTAATAGTCAGTGCTTTTACATTGTATACCTATGTAAGTGTCTATGTGTAACATTAAGTGAACATCCCGTGCATAAAGTATTATTGCCGTGCATGTTTGTCATTCAAGTAATCGTATAGTGTGTTATTGGATTCAAATATACCGAGTAAATTGTAGATATCATAGACATCAATCACAGCAATGATACTTGACAATACCTCTGACTACCTCATCCGGGATATCAGTCGTGAAGATATTATTTGTCATGTGCAGAGGTGTGTCGATGGCGGTGGTGTACGTGGTGACAGCGGCGCTGGTTTCCGCGCAGATTACCTTCAGCCGAGATTGGACCGGTGGGAAACGCGCGGCGCCGCAACTCGCTCTTGACTGCGGACAGTTCACTAGACTTTGTCGACATTTCGTTGTAAGTATATGCAATTATATATAAACTTTATTTATTTATTTATAAGCGCAGAAAGATTACAATCAGTACAAAACCAGGGGGGGGGGGGTCGTGGATTTGTGGGGCCTGAGCCAAAACTACTACCTGCCTAATTTTAATTATATTCAATTAAAAAAATACACCGACCAAAAACAAGCGACGGGAAAATCCTCGTAGCATTCAATAGATCTCAGGATTATCAACATTAATGATAGGTTTATTAATATTTTGGATTTTTAAAATTCAAATTGACATGTATTTTTCTTCAATGAGGCCCAATTGTATCTACCGGGCCTCGGCCTACAGCCCAAAAAGTCATTACGTAGATCCGCCTCTGTAAAACAAATGTAAATATGGAAAATATAATAGATATTTTCCATATTTACATTTGTTTTACAAGGAAGGAAGGAAATTAATAATTAAAATAAGATATTTCTTGCCACTTATATAAATAATATATTTTTACAACCGCGTTTAATTCAGCGAGCTACTTCGATTGAGAACTTTTGGCAAGAAACTCTTATTTTTTACTTGACGTGTCAGTGGTCAAGCTTTCTAAGATGCGTTAATTAAGAGATGTGTATTCATCCGTGTTGCCTTAACCCCCTGTTTCCGCAAATCGGGGTTGTGGCTATAGCTGTGGATTTACAAGGACACGGAGGCCTGACACCATAGTGCTCTGGAACAACAACGCATAAGGCGTAACATGACGACGTAACACAAGTGCTGTTCGTATATAGGCGCCGGTTGACGCATGCTGTCAGTCGAAACGTCAGTGTGGTATTCCAAATTTTTTAAAAACAATTTATTTTGCAGCACGAATTGAAGCAGGCGATGTCAACCGATATGTCTACAAAGCGGCGTCGCGACGAGCCGGACAAGGTGGCACCCATATACGACGACGAGAAATAGTTGAACACCAACCTGATCCCCACCTTATAAACATCGTTATGAATGAGGCTGAACATGTTCCCCACATTTTCGGTTATAAATTGTAGATTACTTGCAATATTTTGTTTTAGTTACTACTAGGGTTTATGAATGCACCCTTATTTATTTATCTATAATAATGCTCTATTTTTCTTTAATAAAATAAAGCCCATGTTACTCGCTAATTGAAACATACATTAGGTTTTCTTAAGAGAAAGAATATTTAAAATCGATTGAGTTTTTTGTTTCGACTTTTTTTGCAAATGCAAAATTTTATATATAATATATTTAATTATTATAGTAATACTTTTTATATGCTATAATTTAGAGCCCAGCTTATTGCTTCTTGTAAGTTATTAACTATGTTATAGCTCAACTACAATCTATTTTCTAAAATGAAGAAAAACCAAACCATAAAACCTCTTTCTTTTCGTGCTGAATTATGTTAGAACATTTTCTGAGCGTTAATTTTAGAGAAAGAAAACAAAATATTTTTTTATTCTCTCTAAAATGTCTTATGCTTATATACCTATGCTCATGCTTGCTTGCTGGATTCTTAGGCAACTTCCCATTATATTTCAGAGACTTTATGGTCAATTTTGTTATTGAAAAGTAACTGGCCATATTGAATTAATAGTTGACTGGCTGGAAATACTATTTCAAATTCAAAATGGCCAGTTAGTTCCTTACCTTTGTACATGGGATAAAAACTTTTTATTTACTTATTTTTTATTCAGTACTCTTTGGGCTCGATGTAAAATAAAAACATTACCTTGGGGTCAGTTATTTCAGCTATGTTACGCTTATAAACAATATATATGTTTGGGAAATAGTAACAATTATTTATTCCAATTTGTTATATATAACAAAGTATAGTCAGGTTGTAAATACTGTTTTACTAAGTCAATATAATCACAAACTACATAGCAACATCTCTGGTTAAAAGATACGGTTTTTTTATACTTAAAAAACATATGTTTCATCTATCTTAGAAATTATAACTCTTTATACTAAGCTTTATTAGATATAATCATATAGTTAGTCGTTAAGTTAGTGTTAAATTCTCTTGCATCTCTCATTACCATTTTCTTTCCACAAATACAAATATAAGGGTACCAAACTATTCAAAAGCACATTGTTATTCAATATAGTAGACTGTAGATGATTTATATAAACATAAATTACGCATAATACGATTCTGAATATAATCTACACTATGTAGAGTCTATTAACACAAATTATTTTAATTGCTTATTGCTTCTCTCCAAAACATAAAATGGCGCCAAAAAATTAGTGCAATTTATGTATAAAACCTATTACATATGTTCTGTATATGGAAAAAATACTTCCGAGTGGTGCATGAGAATTTGTTAGAGAATAGTCTTTTACAAGTAGAACTTCAAGTAACGTACTTATAATACAATAAACTTTGATTTACGAATTGAATGCGCGATAAACTTATGATGTACTTACCTCGCCCCGGACGGTATTTAATTCTTATGTAATAATAAAAAAAATACTGTCTAGTAACAATATGTAATTTAATAGTAATAAAGCAGAATTAAAATGTGTTCGTTATTTTAATACTTACAAATTGCATACATACAGAAAAAATAATGAAATACGCTTTTTGCACTAGTGTTGTCACATTTTTGAACTAGATGGCGTTGTATGTTGTCTTTACACAACGCCTTCTAGTTAAAAAATGAGACATTTCAATTTGGAAATAATTAAAAAGCGTATTTCTTACTAATGAGGCAAAACACGTCCTTATATGGACTGGGAATGATGATAATGGAATAGAGGTCCAGCCTGACGGCCAGATGACATTAATATAATTTAGTTAACACATCGTAAAATTCATCCGGAATTTACCATTATTGTTTCCAGTAGGAATCACACGAAGGTAAATAAAAATATCAAGGGAAACGATAACTTTTTTACGTCTCTCTCTCTCGTCTCTTTCTTGCCACACCAGAAATTCATCTCAAAAAGCATCAAAAAGGTGCAAGACATAAATATAAGTAACATTTATTATATTATACATATAAACCTCTTAAATCACTCTATGTATTGAATCACACTAAGTCTTTAAAATCCGTTTGTAGTTTTATTGCATATATCACACGACAGCGACTTTATTTTATAATAGTCACGGAAAAAATGGTTTAAAGACTTATTCTATACTATAACTTGCATGTATTACACATATAAACCTTTCTCTTGAATTACTCTCTATTACTGAAAACTGCATTAAAATCCGTTGCGTATTTAAGAAATACACAGAACAGACAGTAGCGCATGTTTTATACTATTTTTCCCTACCGCCCAGTTCAATATACAGATTCAATTGGGAAGAACTAGTAAGAAACTGAAATTATTATTTTTGATATATGTGTATAAAAGATACGAATAATGTCGATGGACAATTCAGTTAACATTTAAGTTTGATTGACAACTTCATTGGACCCAATTGTATAGTGGAGTATTCGTTTAAATGACAACAAATATTAACTTAAAAATAACTTTATTAGAATAATTGATTTTATATACAAATTACATAAAATAATATATGTATAATTATGATATTTTCCACTCTCTACACACTCTAAAATTTAATATCAAACGAATTCTTAATTAATAATATTAATTAATGTCATTAAAATTGTAAACTATGTTTAAGAAAATGTAATATTGTTAAAACGTCATATATAGTGCTAAAATTGCTACATTACAGACTATAATTATGTATGCTATGGTTAATTATTTATTATCTGTGGATATTGTACATTGAAAATATCGTGTAAATATTATTTCAGGGGTCACATTCAATATTATATAGGTACACGCACTAACATAATTTCATTTTTAATGCTCTTTTCGAACTATTCTAAAGCTGATGGTCGTACATAAGATATGTGGTTGCAGAGTATAAAGGCCACTCGAACCCTTGAAAGGACTTATGGCTAAAGAAGCGGCTGGTGGCCTGTGTCTGCCTGACTTTAGTCTGAGGATACCGCGAGGCTGTTATAATTTCGATTCCCGTTTGAATGGGAAATGGTATCGATCTTGTGCTGTCTTAATTTGCATTTACACAAAATTATAAACATATATATGTATATTGAATATATATATATGTTGCATAATTCCTTGAATAGAGCATTAGCTTTATTTATTTAAAGAAATATTATTTTTATTGTATTGTAATAACCCTCATAATTTAACTCAGTGTTGCAAGTGCGGTTATCTATAAATTACGTTAGATGAGTTTTATGATTTTCTTAATGCTCTGGATGATGATGTTTAGTAAATTATATGCTACAATAATCTTATCCCAGGCAATGCAATTTATGGTTTTAAATACTAGAATGAAACCTTGTTTATGTCTATCTCTTTTTTTCTACATAATTTTAATAAAAACTTATGAGCCAATTAAGTGTACGACTCAAATTTTCAATATTAGTAACGTTAAAAATCAGTCAGGTTAGTGAGTTACAAAGGTATATTATTCTTTAAACTACCATTATGTACTATCAAATTAATTGATATAATACAAATAAAAGTAACTTCTATAGCATATAGTAATAAGACACTATTTTGATTGCTAACAATGCACAAAATATTACTCAGCAAAATGTCACACTATAACCTAAACTGTATAACCGATATTATAAAAATAGAATTGCAACTTCCATTTGCGAAATACTTTTGTACTATTCAAATTTTAATTACTAATTTATGTTAATTTATAAAAACATTAATATTAAATAATTCTACATTAAATTGCCATAATTATATTAGACAATGCCAATATTACAATTATATTGTTACATCCTTACTCACAAAAACATTAAACGTCTAATAGAACTTTAGTTATTAAAGCTATGGTAGGGTTGCCAACCTAATATTTAAAAAACCAGGTAATGAAGTTTGAAAATCCAGGGCAATTCCAGTTAAAAACAGTACGCAGTAATAGATTTGCAATAGTTAAATTAATATCTAGTGAAAATAGGTAAAATGAAATTTAAGTATTTAAAGCAATCATATTTTTTATTTAAAAATTTGTTTAAAACTTTTTTTATTTAATAATTGATAACCGTATTTAAGTAAAAGAAAAAAACCAAGGACGCTGCATATAAACTATTCAGTACGTCCCAGGACTGTTTTGTCAAGAAAAACTGTCCATGTATTGGGAAAACAGAACAATTCGAAACTCTAAGTAAGTAGCAGAACTGATTTCTTTATTAGGTATTTTAATATTAGATACACTATTGTATTGGGCCTATGCCCGTATTAATAGTTGTGTCATTCTCTTCTCTCAGACATTTTTTTTATATTTGAATGCAACTATCAAAACATTGCGGTAGTAAGATATCATAGAACATTTAAAGTTTTTGTGAATAATTACACAAAATGGCGCTGCCATATATTCAGTACTGTGATGTACATTGTTAAAATACAAGAACTTTCTACCGCTATCGATTAGTAAACTTTATTACTAATATAATCATTTAGTTTCAAAACCACTATTCAGTTTGTCATATTATAAAAAAAATATGCAACTTATATTGTAGAAATACTTTGCACTATTCAAATTCTAATTAAAATATAAAACTTAATATGTAAATAATTCTAAAATAAATTGTCATAATTATGTTAGACAACATGGTTATCATATTGTTAGAAAATATGGCGCTGCCAAATACTTAGTATCCTGTTAGACTAATATATTAATATAATTGTTAACATGAACAAAAACTAATCAGTTTATTGCTAATGTAAAATCAACCATCCAGACATGAAATAAAATGGTCGTTTTACGTATATCATCAGTATAACTCAACTTGGTTAGTACATTCGACTGTCATACTCAATGTAGTGTTTAAAGGACTTGCTATAAAATTAAAAAGACTTGAGTACTAACTACTTTTATCAGTCTTTGATGGCAGTATCAATTTATTTCAAACATATTTACTGTAGATAAACTGTATAAAGTTTTTGGGCAATATTAAATATATATATATATTATTTCCTAATTTTTAAGAATTATACTTTGTAATAATATTGTGATAATATAATACATCTAGGATATAAATCTAGGATTTATATCCTGGTTTCTTACTGCATTTAATAAAACAAATGCATCAGTAAATTTCCACGCTTTCGATTCGTAACTGACAAAATGGGTAATAGAGAAAGAGACAGACTGTAAAAAGTAATCTATGTGGGTATCTCTGTCTCACCTAATTATGCTGTAAACTTAAGTGATGTAAGTGAGATGTGGATAAAATTAAAGGGTACACTTAGATTATTGTCAGTTGCTTGGACATGTAGCACTGCGATCTACATAGATCTATTGTGCTCGCCCTTTTTCAGAGTTCGCTACCTAGACCCGTCAAGGACAAGAATTGAAGGTTATTCTTACGAGCGATGGATTTTATCTCCTCAGGATAGAGTGTAAACTTTGCAAAGGAAACTTTGTTAAGATCTGTATGAAAGGTTACTTAGTACTTTATGTAGGTTGTAATATCAAATGAGTAAGAAAGGTAGTAAATAAAGAAAACAAAGTAACTGCCAATCTGATGGTCTTATTCCTCCAGAATGACAACGTATACATCACGCTAAGTGACGCCAATGATACTCAAGCTTACAGCCCACTGGATGGTAAGTGGTAACCGTCGCCTATATTCATGAATAACGCATTAGTGGTATCAAAAGTGATACATGATATTCTGAGCTCTGTGGTGCTGCATCATGACACCACTAATGCGTTGCCATTTTAGTGGATATCATGCCTCTTATCTTGTGGTGAGTATTAACCATTGCCTATATATATGAACAGCGCCACTGACCTCTCAATACCATGTGTCACTCTTGATACCTCTAATGCGTTGTCATTTTACAGGATATCATGCCTTTTATCTTATCATTTTACTGCCTAATCTGCACTATACAACTAAAATATAGCTTACAAAGGACGCTGTTTGGCGGTAGACCTAGGTGAGACATCGCTACCCATGCAGACGATTTTCTACTGTAGTTTTCTAATTTAATAAATCGAAAGTTAAAACTATAAATACTAATAAACCATACCAAGACCTTGTTAAGCATCATCTGTAGCACAACACCTCACATATTCTAATGCTTTATTCAAACAGTCTAACCAAACATCGCGGTCTTTCGCAGTATCGGCGGCTAGTAGGTGCCTCCTGAGGACAGTGCCGTCTTCTCTCTTGAAGTATACTAAAGATCCGCTGTCGGGCACTATGAGGCCGGTGGGAACGGCCGACTCTAGTAGGATTGTGTTTGGCCGCGCGCATAGATCGCGGGGTGCTTTTATTACCTTCTCGGAGATTACGGTGGATAAATCGATGTCGCCAATTGGTAGCTGCGAAAAAGAAAATGATAGAATTAATAAATCATGTTGAAATTTAATTAAATGTATTTATACGCATGAAATCATTACATAGTATAAAGTAAAGTCGCTGTCGCTGTCTGTCCCTATGTATGCTTAAATATTTAAAACTACGCGACGGATTTTGATTTAGATAGAGTGATTCTAGACAATATACACTATAAATTTCTAGACACTATAAACCTTCATATCTATATAACACATGTACACTCGTGAGAAGCCGGAGCGCGTAGCTAGCTAAGTATTAATGTTTGTTACTCTTTTTCACGCAAAAACTACTCAACGGATTTTGATGAATCTTTACAGTAATATAGCTTATACATCAGAATAACATAGGCTATAAATTTCACGTGGCTGAAATTGCGGTCACTGTTAGTAAAAAATAAATTAAAAAACAAAAGCCGTACCTTCCGCTGCACATCGTCGGGATACTTCCAGTAGGAGAGTTGCGGCGGCTGCAGTCGGAACCACCTGCGGTGCCACGCGCCCAGCCCGGACACGTCGTCGAAGGCCGTGAGGAAGGCCGCGTGGGGTGCTGGCGCCGGAACTCGAACCTTCGCCCCCATGTCCAGCTGGATCGAGCCATCCAGAGGACTCCCGCATGGAACCTGTCATAATAATAACATTTTATTACGAAACGTTTGAACCCTACCATCTGAAGAAAAATGTCGTGTTAAACGGTTAAGCTACCAGTTGTCTGGTGATAATAATAATAAAAAGTATATTGTGCAAAAACAGTTACAAAATAGACTTAACTAAGATTCTATATCTATTTCCATATATAATGCAATAGTTCTTAAAACTATGTAATGCCAAGTCCAGGGCAGTAGTGTCTAAACCAGGCCAAGTCTGTATCTCAGACATCATTACCCTCTTAAAGATAATATGCTATACACAACAAATGCAGTTTATATTCATTCAACTTCTGTATTATATTAATACATACAACATATATACATAGACACACATATATATTTATTATTATAATTTGGTAATGTAGTATAAATCTTGAACAAACCTTATTGAGTGTGAATGTTTTCCTGGTGGCCTGTTGCAGTGCGAATATACAATATCCGTGCAGTTGGAACTGAGGGCTGCGGACTGCCAGCGGTCCGGCCGGACTTTGTACACGGGGTGCTTTTAACTCGGACACTTTTGACTTTGGAGTTAACAGCTTCGAACTCGACTGTAAAAAATATCAATGTTCATTTAGCGAAACAAGTTTCGTTGGAAACTTTTTAGATGTTCGTTTTATTTGATATTAAAATCCTTAAAAATTATCATTTTACGTTTTAGATATATTTGGCTAACAAACTTATAGAACGACAAAAATATACATTAATAATATTCTTTCTATGTACAACTCTATCTGCATAGTCTGTCATAATAGAGCACATACATCAATTAGTCATCCTTCAAGAAGGTCGATAGCAGTGTGAACCCAAGTAATAAAACCCTTAAAACTTATGACTTTTTCTAAAGACCCGGGTCTCTACGGATAGTCATTCATCAGTCAGTCATTAAGTTTTATTATTCAGGTCCCGTTTCTTAAAGATCAGCAACACACATGTTAGACCGCTGGATGTCAAAGGGAAACTGTTTAATATCTGCTGGGCTGTAAGCTTGATTACCAATATTGTGGTATAAACTAAAACACTTTTTGTACTGAATATAATTCCTTCAGTATAAAAGGTTTTAACAATAAGTTTCAACGATGGATTAAATAAAATTAATATAATTTTGATTCGTGAGTTTTAAACCTCCCCTAAATTATATTTGTATTATATTATAACTTATTAATATATTATAGTGTAATCTTACCTTTTTGCTTGAAATATGATATTTCACCTCATGTGGTAATATTTCTTTGGACGCTTGCAGTAAATACACTTCAACTGTGACCTGGAATAAAATAATAGGGACATGTAAGGAATAGTTTTGTAGTTCGGCTGACTTATATTACTACCATTTTTTATGTATCGTACTAAATAATAAAGTAGCCACATATAGTTCAAATTTTAAAAGATTTGCTAAGGCTGGATATGTCTTTCTTCTGTTTTTTATTACATATTGTTGTATACATATAAGGAAAGAGAGAAAGAAGACGATGGCACAGCTACATTAAGCAAATTAAAGACAAAATTGGAGTCGTGATGAGCATGAGAGAAGATCGTGGAAACCGGCAAGAGCTCCACCAACAAGAGCTTCGCTCTTAAATTATAAACGAATGAAAAAAATACAGTTACCTTGAAATCGCTGGTGAGACCGTCCATGCGTATTTCATCAGGGAAGTGTAGCAGGGTCGAGTTCGGCTGCGTGAGCTGCATGCTACTAGCGAGCACGCGGTCACGGCACTTCAGTAGACACACAGCGTGATGACCCGTTGCACCGTCTGCAAATTACCACAATATATATAAACAAACAGAAAAGATTTGTTTTTTATTTGTACTGGATATATAGCGTTTTAGCAAACCGCTTTACTTGGGGTTGTTGCAGATATGATTATTTGCATCAGTCTGGGTGTTTTCTATATATAATATATATGTATTTACAAAAAAAAATCTATGTATTTAACAGTAATCTAGGTCCCATAACACAAGCTTTAGATAGCTTAACTTGGGACTACATGGCGCTGTGTGTCGAATTTTCCTGAGATATATTATTATCTTATATATAAAATTCTCGTGTCAGTTTTCGTTCCCATACTCCTCCGAAACGGCTTGACCGATTCTCATGAAATTTTGTGAGCGTATTGAGTAGGTCTGAGAATCGGCCAACATCTATTTTTCATCCCCCTAAATGTTAGTGGTAGTCCACCCCTAAATTTTTTATTTTATTTTAAGGCAAAACGTTTGCCGGGACAGCTAGTTATTATTATATTACATGACTAGTCATTCCTAAAAAAACTCACCGGCATTTAGTTGTCGTACATAGTCGCGACGCAGTGGAACAACAAGGCTGTTGATATGGAGTGCGGCCATCCCGGCGGAAGCTGCTGGGCCAGCGCCCTCTACTTGCAAACGTTGTACTTCGTGCACGCTCGCCTGCCGACGGTGTGCTACGGGAAATTGGAAAAGCAACCTTGCGTATACTATACAAATAATACAATATGAAACGCTTGCATCGCATGAGAAATATTCTTTTTTTTGGACTACTCAAATGCTGTTGACCGCAGCCTTTACAGCTTTTCCGGATTATAGGGAGCGAGTATAGATGGCATTGCAAACCCACGGAAGGACTTATGGAACGGCTTAAGGCCAGCTCCCGTCTGACTAATATGATTTTAGTCTGAGGGCACCGCTGGAGGTTCGAATCTTGGCTCAGGCCGTCGTAATTGCGATCACAGTTTGAATTCGACGGGGGATCAATCGGAGAGATGAGAGATATCTATAGTATTATCCATTAGTTTATAGGCGATGGTTGCCACTTTCATTCAGATCGTTAAGCTAGTTATAGCGGAATTAGACAAAATAATATAATCATATTAAGTAGTAAAATATATATGTGTATATATGTTATAATATTCGTGTGTATTCTATTCTTGTTTAGTTTTAGTTTAGTCTAATATTTGTATATATGTTATTTATATAATTAATGTTAAGCCACCATCAAGTATTTCTGCACTTCCTGAAGGTTGACTGGTAGAGAATGCCTATAGCATTAAGTCCGCCGTTTGTACCATAATTTATTGGTCAATAAAGTTTAAATAAATAAATAAAATGTACTGTCGCAAAATAACTCCTAATTCGATAAAAAAATATCTGGAGCAATCTACAATTAAGGAAATCTCAAAATGAAACTATACACTAGGTTACCTTTCTCATATGGCAATAATATGATAATATCCTTTTCATATGGGAAGAGGAGATAAGCATGCAAGGTGTGGATGCATATTTAAAAAGTGAACCAGGAGTACATAGGTTGTAAAGTTCGGCCGCTCAGAGTTTGCGTTTCTGACAGATCGGGATCGACCAATCAACTGATTGTTTTTGTAATGAAGCGACTAAATAACATTGAAACAGTGCAGTTTTGTGTGAAACTATGGTTTTTGTATTTGTTAAGTAGTTAATAATTTTAGCCCAAAATTAATACGTTTATTGTAAGTTGGAAAAATATTAAATTTTTAATGTTATTAAGGCAAAAAAACCATATTTTAAATTTTGCCGTAAATTGTATGTCAGTTCAAAGTTATATCGACTATTCTATCCCAACCTGTCTGAAACGCAAACTCTGAGCGGCTGGATTGTAATATATATAATGAAAATATGATTGTCTTACTTGCGAGTAAAAGCAGTCTCTCGCCTTCGGCTTGTTCAGTGGAGCCACTGAATTCAATAGTAGCTGCACACAGATTTAACGCTTGACTGGCCTGTAATATAAAACATATGTATATAATAAACATATGTACATACTTTACAATATAAAAAGATTCAAGTTTTAGTTTTCTTAGCAGTAACATCACTACCAATTGAATAAATCTAATATAAGAATTTTATTAACATTTTTTCATATTTATTAACGTTATTAAAAAGTGCTATTAAAAAATGACTTGATTAACACTTTTTTTCCCTTTCCACATCCCTTTCCCGTCAACTTAAATCAACATTAATTAATTAAAATCAATTGGCTATATCAACATTTTGCTACTTCAGCGCCATCTAGCAGACAGTAATGAAGTTATGCCAGCGAAGCCGCGGGTAAAAGCTATTAATATATATTTACGTTATACTTATATGTATATATATATATATATACCTGTGATATAATAGTCTGTTGCTTGGTAATCTCGTTCTGTAGCTCCTTGATCCGCTGTCGCACGGTGGTGACACAGGCGGCCGGCTCCGATGTCGGCGGGATGTCACGCTCCGGCGACTGGTGTCGGATGATGCGCATTGGAGTCGTTGGTGTCGTGGTCTGCAATCAAATCAAATTAGACGTTATATCCTTTACGTAAAGTCACTTTTTATATTGAACTAGTAATGGGAAATAAGTTGACAGTCTATCTGATAGAAAGTGACAATTGTGGTATTTAGATATAAAGAGTATCATGTATACAAATGAGTAAATTTTCTCATGCTACTATTATTTTCCATAGCTTGGCTGATATATCCGTAAAAAATATCACGGTTATATCTTACAGCTTAAACAAGACTTTAACTAATATACTAGCTGAATTACTAGTTTCTTTTTTAGACTACTCTAATGCTGTTGCCGCAGCTGGCCTTTGAAACTTCAGTGGTGAGTGCAGATGATTCTGCAAACCCGTGGAAGGACTTATCGATAAAAGCTAACTCCCGCCTGACGAAGAATTACTAGCTGAGATAGAGTTGTCAATTTAGACAACTTCTTCATACTTACTCGTTGTCTCCTTGCCTCCTTCCAATAGTCAAGTCAAAGTCATAATCATTTATACATTTAGGTCATTTAAATTTCTTATGATGTTAACATTTTTATTACTGCCTGACTGCGGAATAACTAACATACTCGGCCATCCCCCAAGTAATCGTTTACATTATAATAAGCTGTACTCAATAAGTATTTTTTAATAAAAAAAAAAAAAAAGATTCATACAAATGAATTTATGTAATCGATTTCAAAAATTCCATTATATATAGTAAGTTAATTTATCTGCAAATAATATGAGCTGTATTTTATTGTAAAAAATTAAAAGATCCTTATAAAAATGGCACCCGACCGAAGCCACGTTTACTTGCTAGTATATAATGTATGTATTGTCAATACTTACAGCACTTTGCATCCTTCTGTAGAAACTGACACTGTGTACCAGCTCGCTGCCTTTGTCTCGAGCGGGGGTCGATGGCGTCACGCACTGCGGCTGGCATTTCAGGGGAGACTTGAACTGCGCTTTCTCCTGGTACACGAAACTTGTTGATGACAGGCTCCCATGCTGTAAACACGGGGCTAGCTGTTCCTCGGCCTCATCAAGTGTGAGTGAGAGATGACCATTCTCTCTTACTCCCACATTTAGCAGATTTAGATCGAGGTCCAGCAGTGAAATTTTATGTACACATTAGTCATACGGCTCCCATGCAGTAAACACGGGGCTAGCTCAGACTCATCCAGGGTGAGTGAGAGGTAACAATGGTCTCTTACTCCAACAACTTATTCAAATAAACTCAAGTACTTTTGAATAGTCATATTTTCTAATCTAACCTAATGAGTGCATTCGGAACGCAGTTGGAAGAATCATCAGAAGAAGAAAGAGCAAGAAACTTGTGTGTTGCTCTTTTGAATGTTTTCTGAAGTCTAGACGACTTCTTAAAATTTCTAGCTCCGTATAAACTTAAATCTAACATCTAAATATTGCTGTGTGACTGTAATTGTTACCTTGTTGACTTTAGGTGGTGTGGGTCCTTCGATTTCCTCATTGATGGCTTCATCCAGCATATCATTCAATTCACTGTCACAGTCGCTGTCTGAACTATCTGTCTCGCACTCGCGAACTGCTTTCTTGTAGCTGGTGTTGTTTTTCTTTACCACCTAGAAATATAAGTGAGATTGGAACAAATCGAGACAGAGATATGTTTGTTTTTATATTTTGAATTTGCAAACACCGTGCTAGTCGAAACAGTGTTACGTGCAAGGTAATGAATCCAGCTCAGTACTGTAAGTTCAGACTAATATTTTAATATTAAATTGTAAGATTCACGTTAGATTTTTTATAGGAAATAAGTATTTTTAATTATACCATAACATTTTATACTCACATTCATGACTTCACGACCGAAAGATGTCTCAGCCCAGTTGTCAGATTTATTTAAATTGTCGTTTAGATTCTCCGTACTGAAAATGCAAAAAATAGAACAAAATTAATAAAATTCATTACAAATTATACTAATTATTTAGTCATTTTTTCATTCTCCTAGATTTGTTGCTTGATTCTGGTTTATATATAAATCAAATACATATATTTATACAATAATCATATTTAGATATCTCAGTACGTATTTTTATTGAAAACGACGTAGAAATTAGATGTGTGTAATGTACGTGAAATGTAGAGAAAAACCTAAATACTACATAAATCTGATATATAAAATTATCGTGTCACAGTGTTTGTAACAAAACTGCTCCAAAACGGCCTGACAGATTCTTATGAAATTTTGTGTTTGAAATTCAGCAACACCAAAGGAATGGGACTAAATTTCATATATCTAAGTGATAAGGGTAGTGTACACCCAAATTTAATTTTTAATTTTTGGACAATACTTTTAATTTATGATATGGTATTAAAAAATGCATACAACTCCAAATTATCATTTCGCCTATCATCAACCATTATTTTTTTAATAGCGATATGTACATGGCGAAACATTGCACGCCGCATCAGACAGTATAATCTTTCTTGATATAAAATGAAATCGCTTCCGCTGTCTGTTCGGTCGGATTTTATAAACTACACAACAGAATTTAATGCAGTTTTCATCAATAAATAGTGATTCAAGAAGAAGGTTTACATCTATACTACTGTTCAGCTTTGCAAAGCCTAGAAATGTATATAATATTTATGAAAACATTAATAAAATCATATAGGATATATTATACCACTAATTCAATTGCATTATTATTGTAACTCTACCGACCTATCGCAGAGAGAAAATTGCTTAGAAAGTTTTCTGATATGTGTACATTGCTACAATATGTCAGACAAAGGCAATACATATAACGTACCATCTGTATGGTCACTGATATGACTAATAATAGAAATATAATAGTACATAAATGTACTTTAAGTTTAATTATTAAGTAGAGCAACGGCCGAAGGAGGCCTAATTTCGGGGGTAGTTGCAGCAAAAGAAAATGTCGACGTAAAGGGGCCTCGAGGGCCCTACTTATACTCTTCCATAAGAGGGTGCTGGAGACCCCAGTCAGTCACTACTGGCCTTACACAAAATATCAGTTCTGTGATACTAAGCTGTCACAGCATATGCTGAGTGTCGACTGTATTGCCAACTAATAATTTAGCTAGCAATATAAATATAGTATTGTAATGTTACGAAGTTTACTACTTTATATATAGCCCTCCTTCGCGGCTTAGCGGTTAACAGATTTCCAATAGTCGCGGGATTCGATTCCTCGCACGGCATAAACATTTGTATTCATGAGTATGATTGTTTGTATCGCTCTGGATGTTTTCTGTGTATATTATGTATGTATTTATAATAACTTTCATCTTCACTTGAAACGAAACCCAGTTATTTTGTAAACAAGCACCTATGGTGTATTGGCCTATTGATTGAATGGAAATAATTGACAACAAAAATGATACAAAAATATGCATTTTTTTATCATTTTTGTTGTCATTATAGTTCCGAAAGTCCAGAGAGAATACTGCCATTTCTCACCCTCCAAACAGGTATACGACACAATACTAAATATAATTACGCATATTAATTTTACTAATATATAAACGAGAGAGAAAGGGATTGTTGCAGCAGTGTGGTTAGTCCACATTACTGGACTAATAACCACATTGCCATGTCGGGTTGACCTCCACGTGGTTCTCTCTGGAAACCATCGTAATAAATACCTGGTGAATTTACCACGATGGGCTAACTGACCTGATCTCAGGTAACATCCTCCACTGGTGCCCCGCCGTTAGCGCAGGTGGTATATTTCTTAAGAAATATATAAAAAATAATAATATATAGACGTGGAAATTTCTGAGTGTAGCTGTATAGATGGATGCATGTTTATTATTGTTTCAAGCAAAAACTACTGAATGGATTTTAATGAAACTTTACAATAATGCAACTTATACATTAGAATATTACACAGGCTGTAAATTTCACGCTGGTAAACCGTGGACACAGCTAGTCTATACATATAAATAAAATTGGAGTATCTGTTTGTAATATTGAAATAACCATTTTTTACTACATGCATATGAATACGGTACATACACCAAAAAAACATTTTTTACAATTTTTGACGGTCTGTCTGTCTTTCTGTTTGTTCCAGCTAATCTCTGAAATGGCTGGATTTTGACGGGACTTTTATTGTCAGGTAGCTGATGTAATAAGGAGTAACTTAGGCTACTTTTAGAAAAATAAAGTTATATTCCACGCGGACGAAGCCGCGTGTACAGCTAGTATACTATAAAATTTCTCTGTTGTCGATAGTACTAGGTTTATAACCTGTTTATCCTGTTCAACATCAAGTAAATAATGCTTGCAGTTTTATATAAAGGCATTACTCAGGACTATTAATTTTTTAAATATAGTTTCATAATCACAGGGTCAATATTTTTTTATTATCTGACAGCTGTGATGATTTGTTTTATCTCCTCCTGCTTTCGGTTTATCCTCGACTTTTGTAACAGCCTGTATTTTGAGTCGTGGTCTTACAAGTGTTATTTGTTACTGGCCGATACTCGTATTTAATATCTACCTTGTTAAATAGACTAACTTCAACAATTGAATTAGATAGACGATAGATATAGATAGATAAAGATGAATTAGATTAACGACAAAAGTTACAGACTGTACTGTTATTAATATGTATATAATAAGTTTAGTGTATAGGGGTGTGTGGTATTTTAAATTAATATTTATGTTAGGGGTTGTGTATGTAAAAACAGATGTTAAAGAGTAATGTATAGGTCTGTCGTGGTATAGACGTGTAACGCGTAGGAATAAAGATAATATTTTACGGAAGGTGGATGGTTATAAATGCAGAGGAAGACCTAAAAAGAGGTGGATGGATTGTGTGAAAAATGATATGCTAAGAAAGGGAGTAATTAACGAGTTGATTGCAAACAGGGATGAATGGGAGAGAAAAACATATTACGCCGGCCCCAAATAAATTTGATAAGGAAGAAGTTGATGATGGTTGTGTATTGTGTATGTGTATGTGTATAAAAAAACGAAATCTGTCTACCTTTCAAATAACTCCTGAACTCATTATTTAAATACATACTGAGATAGGTATTTAATATAATTTCACCAAAATCACACAACAAAATCGAGGGGAATAAAAAAACACAATATTAACTTATTTACAAAAAAATCTTTATTATTACAGAATTGTAGAAAACAACGTATCTATTTTATCACAGTCGATAGAACTTAAACATAATATTAAGCTAAAAAGGTTTTAATGTTAATGCATAACTCTTGGAATAAATTAAATATTTATCACTATTCTACCTAAGTCAATTTATTATTTTTAATCATTATTATTTATGATAAAATTATTATTGATAAATATTCAATATTCCAAGAATATATTACTGTAACATATAAATTACTGTAATTAGTATTTTATGTAACAAAGTTGTTGAGTAAACATAATTTTAATTAAAGTACTGAAGGTACGATTTGTCCTTCGTATTCACAATATAAAATATACATATATAATAATAAAAATAATCCAGAACAATTCACGTCATTTAGTAGAAACCAAGAGCTTGTAATATGCGTACTAAATAACCGATAGAAGTATTTAAACACATATTTCGTAATATATAATATATATGATAATACATTAATAAGATTCCTCAACAAGAGTTGCCGAATGATAATATTACTATAAAATATAAAAACTTGTATACTTATATTAAGAACAGATATAACAACTGCTTATTTTACACTTTGATAGTAAGTAGGCAATCGAAAATTTTATAAAATAGATAACAATAACAAGTAAAATACTACCCTTTATGCATAAAACACTATTTAGATTATTGAATTGTTTGTCCTTTTTCTATAAACTGTTTTCTTCATTTGAAAGACAGTGACAAAGCACTGTCAGAGTAACATGGCAGGTTTTAGTTTCTATGGATAAAGGGTAAAAGACAATGAACAAATTTCATATAGGCTTGGAACTTGCTCAATATAAACGATTATTTAATAAAAGGCCTACACGACTTTAAAATCAGGAGCAATATTGGCGCTGTTGAAAAGGCTGTAAGAGTATTATTTGAAATAGGTCTTGATTTCGCTACACACGCGGTCATACAAAACGCGATAAAGCGATCCAAGACCCTCTTATGTACTGCTCAGATAGTGTCCCTGATTTTCTGAAATACGGTTGGATTCCGCTATACACGCGGTCATTTATAAAGCGCTCTGTGGCCCTACTATCCCCAGCTTAGATATTGTTGCTATTTTATTGAAATTGGACTTGATTTTGCTACACACGCGGCCATTTATAAAGCGATCCAGGGTCCTCTTATACACTGTTTATATATTGTCCTTGATTTTAGCGTCGCGTTTAGCCATTTATAAGTAGATACCGAAATATTCACTGGATTGTAAATAATATTTATGCGTTCTTATATTAAAACGACTGTAGCTTATTTATTAAGTAGGTTAAGTACTAACTTGGATAGGTACTTAAAATCAGCAACTGCGACGTCAGTTTACAAACGTTTGCTATGATGTTAATGATAAATGAATAATTATACCATAGGAAGTGAGTTACATTTATTAAATAGCTACAATTAGTTTGTTAATTGAGTAAATTTAATATTATTTGAGATTCTTAGGCAATGTCATTTAGTAGTTTAGTATTTAAAATAACTGTTTTACTTAGACATTGAACTGTTATCTTCATATACATAAATATAAGATATAATTATTCTAACACCAATAATTTGTAACTATATAATGTATTTACTGTAAGTAGTTTATATAAACTTTCGATTATGGAGCAAAGATACAATTATATGCAATAAATTTAGAATAGATATGAATCAGATTTGATCCTTATTAAATTGTAGAAAAAACCACCCTACAGAATGGTCTTAAGCTTTACTTTTATTTAACACTATTTTCACATCTAAGTACCTATATACATATACTGAGATAAATCGTACTTTATACTAATCAGTACTTAGTAATATAATTTGACAAACATTCAATACTAATAATACAGTCTTATACATATAAACAATATTTATATTATATTTCATTTATATTTTTCATGTATTTGTCATAGAAAAGAGATAATATGGGAATTTAAACGTCAAATATAATAACTACACTCATACATACATTAACAAAAGCGTTAAAATATAATAAAATATGAACCAATACGTTTTTTTACTGAAAATAGTCTACTTCAGCAAGTCTATTAGATCTAGAGATCTATAGTACAAGTTTCGACCTAGTTCAGACTCCATACTCTTGCAAGAAATAACTTGTAGGTTTAAATATAATTTATTGACATTGTAAGATTCCTTGTGAGCAATAAAAATAATATTATTATTATTATTATTTTGTTTTAAATGTATCTGTTACATTTATATATTCATACTCATGAAAAAAATCAACATAGTAATACACATATACAGTATTAAATTCAAATAGTTTCTTAATTTGTGCTAAACTAAATTGCAAACACTTCAAGTGTAATACTAGAGCTCGTGGACCGGCTTCCGGTCAACTCGAGCGTAATGTTAGCAATTATTATGAAACATAGTAATAATTTCATAATGTCACGGTAAGGATACCAGATTATATCGTACGCGTATCTGTAGAGTATTAAAAATTACCCAAAAGTTACGTAATTCTAATTAAATTAAAAAAAAAAAATTGTAGAGTAAGCGAGGATCGAGATACCGACAATTGTTTTTCCCGGAGGATCATTACTGGAGAGTTACTTAATTCGAACATTTAAGTCAAAATAAGAAGTAGTTAAGAGTAAGTAAGGACAGAAATTCATACACTATATCCTGAGGAGATAAAAACCATTGCTTGTAAGAATATTCTTCAAGTCTTGTCCCTGACGGGCCTAGATAGCGAACTTTGAAAAAGGGCGAGCACAATAGATCTATGTAGGATGCAGTGTTACAGGTGTTAACCCCTGACAATATCCCAATACCCTAAATAAAAAAAATTACTGAGCTACTGATTTGTCTAGTCCACGCAATACCAGAGGTCTATATAAGTGCCAAAAATAATCCGAGAGACAATTCTTAAAACAAGATAAAAAAAATATCTTAGTATCGAAACTTCAATACGTGACTTTTATACAGATAGCACATTTATGAAAGAGCAACCTCTTATTCACTTATACTGTACGTAACCGTAAATCAACCAGTTGGTGTGATTAAAATTTTGCCAATCGGTCCCTTGTCGCTTTTCAGCGATCTTTTCAGTTAAAACTGATCTAACCAAAGAAGTAAAAATAATGAAGACATAGGCTGCTTATAATGCGAATAAAGGGTTGTAAGGGGTTAAAAGATTGTATGGAAGTATTTTAAAACTCTTCTAGTTTTAAAAATGACAATACTTGATACATTAAATTAAAATAAAAAAAAAATTGTCCCTTAAAATATGGGATGAGTTTGTACGGATTTTCGTAATTTTTGAAGCAAGAACGACGTCATGCATATCCAATTTGTAAAATAATTATTATAAATAATTAAAAATGCTATACAAGCTCATTAGTCCAAGCGGACGAAGTCGCGGGCACAGCTAGTAATACTATATGTGGTGCTGTTACTGCGTAGACTCGTATATCCTTGCGACTACCAGCTAAAACGCGAGACAAAGGTATGAAGTAAACCGGTTAAGGTACATTAACGCTGACCTTCTTGTGGAAACCATGCCACGGGCAAGGTTAAATCCTTCTTAATGATAACTATCGGCAGTTCGTTTGTAAAACCTATTATTGTGCGTACTTTCCTTACAATAATTATCTTTACGCTAGGATATGTCAAGTGGCACGTATCGAACACTAACTCATAGTACCTAATAGGGATGGCCGATATTGGATAAACATCGATATCGATGTATAACTGTCGATGTACGATTAATATAGAATGAAAAATATCGATATTAGAAAACATCGGTGTTTTAGGTGACAATGTATATATGTATCTGCTTGAACCGTAAAAGTAACGACTAATTGAGTAACCTTACAGTTTTGTTTCTTTTAGGCTGCTACTTGATCCTGTCTTTAAGATCGCAATAGTAAGACCGCCAAGTGACATAAAATTCCTCTTCCGTTTATTTTGTCTTTAATTAACATTAACTTGGCATCGATGTCGATATTATTGAGGGCTAAATATCGATATTTTCCCACTAAACATCAATCTTTATTCAATATCGAGATATATCGGACATCCCTAGCTGGTAGATCTTCACGTTACTTTTCTTCCCGATTAAGAAGAAAGAACCATATGCCAAGAAGGCCTATTTTTTACATGAAATAATAGTAGAAAAGAGATAAGTACATATATTAAAGTCATCAAAAACATTCGCAGTCAAATTTCAGTCTAATTCTTCAGGCACTACATTCGCTACCAGTCCATATTAGTTATTTAATATCAAGCAAAACAATTATTGCTTAAATACAACCTTATCTTATACTACATATAGTACAATATTGAGTGTTTATAATTTTAATAAATTATTCTGTCTCTGAAATTCAATAATATCATCTTACTAGATCAAGATTACAATATGATAATATTCATAGGAAAGTCAAGTGAAGTCTAAGTGAAATTCTAGTATTAAGCATTTCACTTGTGGGTAATGGCTTTTATTGAAATGAAGGCATCAATTTTACGGAAATATAGACAATATATTATATTTGTACACTTTCAAATTTTCATGTATTTATTCATTTATAATGGAGCCATTATAAATTAACATTGGTATCCGAATGTTCTGCATATATAAATAATATTTGGTACTATACGCTTCAAATATCAAACAGGCAGTAGTGAAATACTAAAACTATCCCGGAAATAAGCATCAATCATTTGTAAGATATAAATAAATATACATCACATAACACTAGCACTTGTTTATATTAATGTCATTGATGTACTATCTTATACAGTATAGTCACGAATACCATTAAAATTTCTGCCTTCATTCCTTTGGAAAACTATTAAAAATGAATCAAACACCGAGTTCCAGTCAATATTCCTTCTTGCCACCAAACGACAATCATATATCTTCTTGCGAATCTATTCCAGCCGCCATCTTGAAATTTCCCGCCAAAAACAACCTGAAAATTCAGATGCAAAGGAAAAAGAATATACATTCTAACGTATAATGTCCACACCTTGAGCCGCCGCAGTCGGAATATTCCTCTGGCGTATGAGAATTATCTGTCTCTATGTCCGATAAATGTGGATACAGACTAGTTGGTTGTTGTAACACTGCACCATTGGCTCCCTTCTTATCATTTACTTTAATTCTTTTAACGTCATCTAATACTGACAGTACTACTGGCGAGTCATGGGATTGTGAACCTGGAAAAGAAAACATATTTATTAAAATACCGCAGACAAAATCAATTTTATGCCAATAACAAAAAGGTCCACTATTACATGCGTGCCCAACAATGAAATTAACAAGACTGTTTTCAATTACATTAGTAATGCAGTAATGCAAAATAACGAATTAGATTTTTGCTATTAAAAATATATTGCTCCATTTGCAAAAAAAAAATGTTATAGGCCGTTTGCTAAGCATTTCTTGAATACAAATGAAGGAATCATACTACGTGAGGTACGAGGTTGAACAACAATGTGATTGTCTTGATAGTAAATTGAATATATTATCTAAGTAGGTATAAACGTAGATTTCCATTTACTAACGAAAATCTACTTAATTGTAGTGACTCAGGTACTTCCGGTTCAAAAATGACCACTTTCGAAACTGACTCTTTCTTAGAATAACCAAATCCGGTTTATATTATGCGAATGTTTGAGTCACAAAGAATTTTTCGTTAACATTTTCAACTATCTACTTTTTCATGTTTTTTTTATAATTATGATGCGGCAAAGCAAATAAATTATACGGAAAAAGTTTCAAACTGCTTACTTCGTCTTTTAACGGGTTGTGATCCAATTATTTTCTCCTTATTCGTATCACTCTCCTTATCACAGGGTTGTTCCTTATCATTCACCGTTTTAGGTATATTGGATATAATTTCTGGCTTCTTCCCAGCCAGGGCTAAACTTGTCGTGCTGCCCATGAGTGGCGCATTCTCTGATGGATCATGTTCACTGTGATCGTCGTCAGAATCATCGTGTTCTTGCGACTTCTGAGGATTGGGCTGAAAACATAAATGGGAATAAAATAAATAATCTGAGAACACTGAAATATTCTGTTATAGTACTATGACTATTATATCTACAAAGTATAGGATGACAATCCGTAAAAATTAAGACATTCAGGCGCCAAGGTATTAATTAATTATTTATTATAAAGATTATTATTTAAAGATTATTATTATTAATTAATTTTCAAAGGTGCAATTATTGCAAAGATGTTTTTTTTTTTAATTAACCGTCTCCCATTTTATTCTTCTTTATTATCTTTGCATAGAATAAAACAAAGTCGCCGCTATCTGTTTGCTGTTAACCTAAGTTTTTAAATTACGTCACGGATTTTAATGTAGTTTTCAGCAATAGATATAGTGATTCAAGAGGAAGATTTATATGTATAATACATGCGTGTTATAGTATAGAACCAGCCGAGAAATTCAAAGATGTCTAATGCATTCGTGGGAAGGGACGGTTCGCTGTTAATAATAATAGCACTTAATGTTAGAGGTGCTTGCTTATATTTCGTTTCAATAATTAGAATGACAAACAAGCTGACACTCCACCTGATGGTAAGTGGTAACAGTCGCCTATATACTTGTACATATGTATGTCTATAATACATATGGCTTCCTAATTATGTAAATTATCATAGAAAAAATTTATAAAACGTATATTACGACATTTATTATACACTAGCTGTACTCGCAACTTCGTCCTCGTGAAATTTAGCAAAAACTTAGGCAACTTTTATTTTAATTAGAGAATTTTTCTAAAATAAAAGTTGCCTAAGTTACCTTAGCCTTACATCAGCTACCTGCCAATAAAAGCCCTTCAAAATCGGTTCAGCCCTTTCAGAGATTAGCCAAAACAAACAGACAGGCAGATAGACAGCAAAACATTGTAAGAAATGTTATTTTGGTGTATACCCGTATTTATATTCATATATATACCTAACGTAAAACCGGTTATTTCAATATTACAAACAGACACTCCAATTTTATTTATATGTATAGATTTCTGCTCACAGTCAGCGGTTCTTTGTTTTGAATTTCGTTCTATTTGAAGCGACTGTTGCAGCCATTGCAACCCTATACCCTCCATGAGTCACGACTTCACACTTTATTCTTTGTTCAAGAGTTTTACGACTAACAATCTCGCCGTTACCAGCATGTTCCGTACGAATAAAATATTTAACTATAAAGAATGTGTTGTGGCTCGTATGGGATGAAGAGAAACCAATAATTTAGTAGTATCCGTGGATTGATTTATTTGTTTTTTTTTTTTTTTTTTCGGACTACTCTAATGCTGTTGGCCGTAGCTGGCCTTTACAGCTTCACCGGACGTTATGGGGCGAGTGCAGATGGCACTCCAAACCCGCGGAAGGACTTATGGAGCGGCTGAAGGCCAACTCCTGCCCGACGGATACGACTTTAGTCTGAGGGCACCACTAGGGGTTCGAACCTCGGCTCAGGCCGTCGTAATTTCGATCCCCGTTTGAATTGGACGGGGGATCGATCGGAGGGGCGCCCGGGGGCGCCGGTGTGTAGCGCCCGGGCGCGCGCAGGCGCCCGGTTGAATGCGCGATATTGTGTGTTTGAGGTCGTCGTCTTCGCCGGCGAGGACGGTGTCGTGTGTGTGTGTAAAAGTGTGGTCGGGGTGGAACGGGTGGGCCCGTGGGGAGGTTACCTGCCGTTATGGGGTCGTCGGGGTCAATGAGAACGTGCCTCGGGCGACGTTGTCGCGTATGTCGGATATTACTCCTCGGTGCGTAGTCGACCGCACTGACTATAAGCGGATTAGGGTGGGATTGGGCAGAGTCGAAGTAGCGTCGAGACGCTTCCTTCATAAACTGCTTGATGGAGGGCAAATTAAGATCGCGGTGGAGATCTACGCTGCGAACGAACCACGGCGCACCGGTGGCTCGACGCAGAAACCTATTCTGAATGACCTGCAGTCTGTTGATTAAGCAGTAGGGTATGTGGGCGAATACGGGACTAGCGTAGGTCATGATGGGACGGATGCAAGCCTTGTATAATGTCAGCTTGTTGCGAAGCGACATTTTACTGTGCTTGTTAATAAAAGGATAGAGTCGCCCTAGTATAAAGGCGGCTCGGTCGCGTACACGCTTGATGTGAGGACGAAACGTTAGTTTCCTATCTAGGGTGACGCCGAGATATTTCGTTTTCGAAACCCACGGGATGTTTTGGCCGAATAGTTCGATCGGGTGATTCATAGAGTAATTCCCTGCTAAAGTACACTGCTGCACTTTTTTCGGGATTGATATACCATTCGCCCAGTATCGTTACGGCTTTCTGAAGCCGTCTGGCTATTGTCGCACGGGACTTGGCGGATGTAAAGAGAGCCGTGTCATCGGCAAACAGCGATATTTCGACTTTTAAGTCGGAGAATTTGGGGATGTCGTTGGTGTACAACGAGTAGAGCATCGGAGAGAGGACGGCGCCCTGAGGGACGCCGGCTCGTATGGGGTGCGGGTCGGATAACGCTCCGTTTATACGGTAGCGATAAGAGCGATTCGACAGGAAATCTCGTACAATGAGTACTAGCCTGTCGGGGACACCTAACTGATGAAGCTTGTAAATCAAGCCGTTGTGCCAGACTTTATCGAAAGCCTTAGCCACATCGAAAAATAGGACGCCTGTACCGCCTTTGGGGGACTTGGTGGCGAAGTACAGAGTGTTTTTGTGAATGTGCTCCGTGATGCGGTGCACTTGATGGACGCATGAGTGTTTGGCTCGGAAGCCAAACTGCTCATTGATGAGCAGGCCTTTGGAGTATATAAACTCCTTTAGGCGGGCGAGGAGGATTCGCTCGTACAGCTTGCCTATAGCCTTGAGGAGGCTGATAGGACGATAACTGGACGGGTCGGATTTATTTTTACCGGGCTTGGGGATGCCAATGACCACGGCTTCTTTCCAGCTGTCTGGAAATATAGCGTTGGACAGCGCCGCGTTAAAAATAGCGACGAGTAATAACAAAAGTTGGGATGGCAGACTTTTGACTAATCTATTCGATATGCCGTCTGAGCCGGGTGATTTTTTGATAGGTAGTTGTTTAACTAGCGTTTTGACCTCATCAAGCGTGACTGGTGAGAGGGATTCGGTGGGCGGGGTGGACGCGATGCGTTCGACTTCGGTGTCTATCTTCTCGAGATGACCTGCCTCGACTGGGAGCGAGCTGGGGGAGCATTGGGCTTCTAAGTTGGACGCTAGACACTCAGCCTTGTCTTCGTCGAAGAAGGCTATAGTGTTGTCGGGTCGGACTAGCGGGGGCATGTCGTTTGTCTGTTGGTCGGTTTTGAGAGATTTCGCTATGCGCCAGTACGCGGTGTGGCATGGCGTAAGCTTGCCCCACCGGCCGTCCCGGATCTGCGCGATGGCTATATATCGCAGGGACGGTTGTTTTAGCGATTACGCTCTAGTGGCTGCGTTCTTATCGCTTAAAACTTACGTCATAGCTGCCAGCGACGGTCGTCCGTTCCCTGGAGCAGTCCTTGACTGCCGACTGCAGGTGGTTAGTAAGCGAGTCGATCGCAATGAGAGTGTCCTCGGTGGACTCTATGACGTCGGGAATACGGTTTAGTATCGGTGTGTCGGTCGATTCGAGAGATTTCTCGAGTCGTTGCCAGTCTGTTATTGTTTTGGTTGGTAGTGGCGTGTCGGGCGGAGGGCCCAGAAGGAGGGTTACCGGTCGAAGTTAAGCTCGGCATGGACTTCTGGGGATAAAGCAGTGCCATGTCCAGATGTCGGGTCGGTGGTTCACGTTATGGGGATAATGAGTAGGGCGGAGCGGGGCGATTATCTCGAATTCGAGCGAGTCGGCTAGTCTGTCTAGTTTGTGGCCGTTTGTCGTGGACACGTGGCAGTTCCAGCGGGTGTGTTTACAATTCAAATCGCCAGCCAGAATGGTGGCGCTGTTGATATCTAGGTGGGCGCGTAGGTCGCTTTCCAGCAGTAGTTTGCCGGGAGGCTGATATACGGATGCCACGGCGAGCGGTCGGTGGCCGGTCATGCCGAGAAGACAGACGGAGGCCTCCATATGAGTGAGAGGCGGTGTTTGTAGCGGTATACAATGTAGGGACCGTTTATAGTATATGAGTGTACCGCCGCCTCTACATATATAATTGGCGATTCTAGGATCGCGGACTGAACGTTTCAGTAGGGTCTCCTGCACGAGGAGAATATCGACTTGGTGGTCAGTAAGAAAGGAGGCGATTTCCTCCATTTGTTTTTTTAATCCGAACGCGTTAAAAAACGCTATTCGAACGGACCGAGGCTTTTCTCTCTGAGCTCGAGTACCCATAATTACAGGTTAAAATTGAGGATGGCGGTAAGTACGCCGATGTGCTCGCAGACGGCTGCGAGCCTATTTTGAGGCGACTCCTTATACAGGCGGAGCTTGGAGGCCAGAAGGGCAATCTCGTTAGGGTCGATGGTGCTGGCTAAGCGAGCGACCAATGCGAAGTCCTGCGCAAGCTGCCGTTGGCCTTGGGGGCCGCGGGCAGTGTTTTGGGGACGGGTTTGTGTATGGGCATGGGCGGGGCCGATTGGGCGGGCGGGGCCGACTGGGCGGGCGGGGCTTTCTGGGCGGGCGGGTTGGGTGCTACCTTACGGGGGTTTAATCCAGGCATTATTACGAGTGGCTCGGGTTGTGTTTGACTTGGCGGGGGCACGTGCCGGAGCACGGTTGCCCTGGGTGTGGGTGGCCTTCTTTTTGGCGGGACGTGGGGCGCGTGAACAACCGCGGTAATTCGCGGTGTGACCCTCTGTGAGGCAGAGGGTGCAACTGGGGGGCGTGGGGGTGTTGGGCCTACGGCCGCAATCTGTTGATCGCCTAGGCACTTGACGCAAAAGCGAAACAATTACGGGCAGAGTGCCCGTATTTTAATGCTTGCGAGGCGCCTCTACGGAGAGTGAGGATAGTTGGCAAACGCTCTTTATATCAAAGATCGATTTGCCTTCTGGGGATAAGTCTAATACGACTAGAACAA